AGGTTCTTCTATTTTTACTTTTGTGTGAAGTAATGTAGTGATGGAGAAGATATCACTGTCGCTTCCTTGTGGATTGAGGTCGGCGAAGAACATGGGAAGTGGAGTTTTTGTTTGGGCGTGTTTAATATTAATCACGTTTCTGACAGAGTGTCCTATCTCATCAATTGCTGATGCTATGTCAGTTGTTGGGGTGGAGGGGTGAAGATTTCTGATGACTATTCTGAATGGTTTATCAGCTTGGAGTTGATAGGTGTGAAATTGTGCATTGATTCCTTTTAGGAAGTGGATTAGTTTTCTATAGCTGTCAGGATTATTTGTTTGAATTTTCAGGTAATTTGAAGTAGATTTGCACGAGAAGCTAGTTGGACCGATTTCTTCCATGAAGCTGTTCCTTAGTTGAAGAAAGTCAATTACGCCTTTGATAAATATAGGTGGAGGCAACATTTCTTTTGGTGTATCGTTTGTGGTATGTGTTTGCGCCGGATTTTGATGGTCAGGCGATTCAATAGTATTAGTGTCATCGGCGATAATAGGTTCCGAGTCATCTTGCGCGAGAATTGAGTAGCGGTTGGGGGTAACGAATTTCTTTGATTTATTTATGCTTAATGTTGTAGGTGGTTGTGGCGGTGAAGTAGATAGTGAGCGCTTTTTCGATTTTACTTTATTATTTTTGTCCGTTGATTTAATGATTTTATTGTCAACAATTTTAATTGGGGATACGGTCCGGTTGTTTATCTGCGGCATAATGACGCTATCTTATCGACAGTCCAAAGGTTACCGAGGGAGCGGTGCCTGCGGCTGGTTGCATAAGTGTCGTAATGTATGAGAGGTGAATAATATTTTTAATATTATTTTAGTGAGAAAATTAAAGTATATTACCCTGCTGGTGGGTTGTTGTTGCAGGGTACATCCGAGAATGGTGAGGATTTTTGAGTAGCGTGAGTTCGATACTAGATATAATGTTTTCCGTTTGTATTTGTTAGAGATACGAGGATAACCATCGAGCGTCGGATAAATGCGTGCGCACAGTCGGACTGTCCACGCGGGAATAGTATGAAACTTGATATTTAAATTATAATATTTAAATATTTTGCTAATACCGTATTTTATTTTAATAGAAACCAAAATTAAGTGGCGTGCCTACTCTAAGCTCAACCACCATATTTCTACGGGTTTAATGAACACTAGACTAATACGTAATCCGGTTAATGAGCTTGAACAAGAACATGATCCTATAATTGAACTACAGAAACAAAAAAACGTGGTCGAAAAAAAGGAGGTAAAAATTCCATAGAACTGGGGATAACACCTGTTATTCCTGTGGATCTGGGAATAATGGTTGTTAGTGCTAGCAAATTAAAAAATATTCTAGAAATAATCGCGTCATTACTTAAAGATGATGTAAATTATCAACTAGAGGAAAACCACAAATATCTGTACAAGAGTTCCACGTCGAACCGTCTACAACAAAAGTTGATAAACCTATTTGACCTAAGGTTGCAGACGTCGACTGACAAATACTGGATATATATAATAAACTAGCTGAACCTGTGCTATATATATATATGAGTCGCTAACTGCAGAAACGGGACAAGTCCATTTCTATCAAATTTGATTTTATTATCATTTTTTGTTAAGTACGCGTAAATACATCGTTTACTGTAGAAAGGAGTCAAATCCGACTATCCAAACGCTAAATATAGCGTTTGGAAATTTCACTTTACTGCAGAAAGGGAACATATCATGTTCAGTTTTTCATCATTCCTGAAAAATTAGGAAAAATGGACTTGTCCCGTTTCTGCAGTTAGCTATATTATAGATAACAGTTTAAATATACTATGTAATAATCTTGCACCAATATTCAATTTAGTTTATCATTATGTAATTGTATTTGTTTTATACAACACCCGCGTTACTACAACAATAATATTACGGTACGTCATATGATAATTGTAGTTAAATTATGATTTTACGGTTCTACTGACTTTTCACCTTCAATCTGTATTATTAGGGCAGAGGACTTGTAGCATTTGCATATTTTTTTTTACACAGGCACAAAAATAGCAGAGCGTGAAACAAATACGTTTCATGCTTCCACAAAGCTACTTTTGATATTTTATTGTGCATATAAATGCATATTTTGCGTTTATTTGGTTTTTAGGGTATGTTTCTTCCATTTTATACTCTTAGATGCATATTTTAAATAATTTATTATTATATCAATATTTTTTTCGTGAAATTTTTATTTAATTATTTATACAACCAAAATAACGTTGAACTTAAAATTATTTTAAATGTTGATCATAATATTAATATAGTTGTTGACTTTTTCCAGATGCTTGTTTTTCCTAAAAACACGTTTCGAGAGTTGTCGATTAGATTGATTTTCGGGTTATTAATTTTATTTATAGACAGATGAGATAATATTGTTCAACGCACAAAATATTGATACGGGCCACGGGGACGCCTGTCGCCGATATCCGACATATTCATATTTCAATAATCGCTTCAGTTTCTCAATGTTTGGCCGTCGACCATACGTCCAAACGCAGGAGGAAAAGCAAGAGCAAGAGGGTGGCGAGAGGTGCTTATGCCCCGGGCGCAATTCCTGGAAGAGCGCAAAATCTTGCATTTAATGTTAAAAATTACAACGGTCAATGTCGTATATTTTGTTTACCAAATCTTTAACATCCTTCATATTAATTAAAGCAATCATTGACAAATAACATCTAATAAGCATATTTTTAAATTAAAAATACATAAGGGCACATTATGAAGTTTCGTCCCGGGCGCAATGTTTGGTTGCTATGACATTGTCTAAACGTGTTCTATTTACTATATATTATAAAAAATTCCCAAATAATTAATTGTAACTTATAAATTGTTAAATAAAGCTGTAAATAAAATGTATTCATTATAATAATGAGTACCAACAGAAAAATTCTTATTAAAATATTAATTTTAAAATGCATATTTTGTATATTTAAGTCCATATTTTTAATGCATATTTTGTTTATTTAAGTGCATATTTGTTGAATTTTTAGAGCTACAAGTCCTCTGCCCTAATTATTATTATTATATTATTATTCAATATACAGAACAAGGTTCTTCGTTAAGGAAGTAATCAGTGCTCGAAATGGAAAATTTTCCGAACTGGAACTCTTTTTTTTTTTTTTTTAGTACATACCATAGAATTAAGAGCTTTAACTCACCAACATTATTTTTTCCCCTTCCTGAAATACTAAGCTTTTTTTATTACATAAGTTGTACCTACTATTTTATACTGTTTAAGTTAAAATTATATTTAGGGAAATCATTTTTTTTCATCTCTAATGCTATGTAAAGTGCTAAATCCACAGACGTTTTATCAGAGTGTAAAATTTTTCCGATATTCATACCATTTAAAACTTGTTAATCTATTATCTATTTCATTCGGTAAATCAACAAATTTTGTTTTGAGTTTTAACAATTTTATAAATAAATTAAAAAATTAGAACAAGGTTTGGAAAATTGAAGAGTCATGTCAACAACAGATAATCCAAAATTTTTTATATTTTTATATATATGTATATATATTATATCATAGATTCAATATTTGACAATTTTTTCTCAGACATGAAAATAACATTTTTAGTATAAGGTATTTTATAAAAATAATACTTGTATAATATTTGTATATTCCTTTCAGAACTAATAATAATTATAAAGATAAAAATAATACAGAAATGAAATACTATTATTGGTAGATTTGGGTAGATCGCGGACCACTTGAAAACAAGTTTGGTAGATCGCGTACGACATCACTACCTATTTTTTTACTAATCAAAGTTATGTAAGACAAAGCTGTAAGTACATCACTAAATCTTTCTTTAAGGGTATAAACCATACCTATCTGTATCTAGCTGCCCAACGTGTACGATTCAGTGTTTTCAAAGTGATATTTGACATAGATTCTGAGAATACATTCGACTATCCTATCGTGCAAGGCTCAATCCACAAAACAATTGTAGATATTTTGCACATTTTTAAAAAAACAGATATTTCTCGTCGTTCTTGCTCGTTTTCTACAGAGAACCCTGTCGCTATCCGCCGTCGCGTTTTTATTTTCAAAGAATACACGGCGACCTGTTATCGTATGTTGCTCCGGTGGTGAACGAGTAAAATAATATTATTATGAAACTTTAATACACAGACTATACTAATTTGGTAAACTACTCACCGAATTTATTATTATGCATCATCGAGAATGATGAAACCTAGCGGAAGTGCTCTTATCATACTTCCACCACGTTTTCGGTCGGTAAAAAAATATTAAATACTTGCTGATTACTATTTTTATTATTTCTTCAATAAGCAAAATTTAAATAAATGATAAGACATAAAAGTTAAATATAATTAAGAGGAAAAAAAACAAATACTGAATTTTTCACGAAATAAACATCTTTATCATATTAGTTTAAAATTAAAACATACAGTACCTATCACAAATTATAAAATACAACTAATTTGGTTAATTTATGTCGTTTATTGACAATATTTGAAGTTTTTGCTTTAGCAACACGATGTAATTGTATTTATAAATATTTTTACAGATTACTATTACTTATTACTAAACATAATCTAAGATTTTGTAAAAAGAAATTATTGGAACACGTCAAATTTTGTAGAATATTGAAATTATTATTTTTACAGAAAAACCAGATAGAAGTAAAATAGCAGATCAGTTTGATTAACAAATTCTCAATGTATTTATGTAATTTAAAAACACTATTAGAACTTTTTATTAATCCTTCTCTATTTTTTTACATCAATTAATATGGAATAAAAATATTTATGACTATAGTTTAGTTCACTTTATGTAATAAAGAATATTATCTTTCAGTAGCGTAGCCAGAATTTTAAAATGAAAGGGTGTAGGGGCCAAACCCAAAATACTAAAAAAACATAATCTACAATTAAAAATAAGTTTGTTAATATAATAATTTTTATATTAAATTTATCGTATTTAATATATTTTATTTCATTATAATTACATTTCAATGTATTTGTTTAATTATTTTGACTAATCTTACAATAAAAGATGTTGATGAAATTTTGAAAAAAAAAAAAATGTTTTTATTATTTATTTCTACCAAAAATCAAAACAAACAATTGGTTGTAGTTAACGTAAGCTTCTATTTTTGTTTATATCAGTTTTCTTTTGAATTGAGGGCCCCAAATCGTGAAGGCCTCGGTGCATCGCACCTACCGCACCACTGCTACGCCGCTGTGTAACACGATTATTGATTAATAATTTAACGATAAAACAAGTGTTAGTATATAATTTACCAAGTCAATAATAATATTATCGATTTCATTTTTGACTTTTTCAACATAATCCTTGTGGCCTTTAATTAAAACTTTACTAGAATTGGAATGTGGAAATGTAATAATAACTCCATTATGTTTCCCACTTATCTGGATTTTTACTTCAGCGTGATGGGCAACAAAATGATGATGATATTTTGGAGAAACGTTTATAGTGACTTCAATTATGTTTTTTCTATAACATTTTAATGTATTACGAGATTATAATTATTATTATTATTGTACTATGATTCTCGTATATCTATTATTTAAATAAATTAAAAGATAATAAAGGTTTAATTATTTTTTATGTAATAACTGTTAGTCATAGGTTATTTTTATGACTTTGATAATTCCAATAACTATAAATAAAAATATTTGTATAGTAAATACTAACCAAGTCTTTAAAAATTTCTTCAATCTTACGTTTCGCCTCTTTAACATTTATTTTATCACCTTTTATGGTAACAGCACTATTACTAAAAGCTATTTTCGGAAATGTTATAGACACTTCAATGCAATCATTAATAATTTGATTGATAATTTCACCACGTCTTCCAACAAAGTAATTATGATACTTTGGATCAATATTTACTACAGCTCGAATAGTATTTTCCTAAATCAAAATTGTTAATGATTATATGGTTAACCTATATAGTTGTATTTATATACCTATAAGTACATCAATGATTATTTTAACTGTTTTATCTTAAGTTATTTCATTTTATATGAGTTATATATCAATAGTTCATTATTGTAAAGAAAACTATGAACAATTATGTAAATATAACCTCAATACAATTTCAATAAAAAATAGACAGGTTAGTTTAATACGTGTGCATTTGTATTGAATTATACATACCAAAACTTTAGCATGGTCTAAAAGTCTTTGTTTATCAAGAGCAACATCTGCTTTGCTATCACTGATCACAACTCTATCTCCAGCACCAAGTTTAGAAAATTCAATTTTAACATCGCCACATTCTTTTTCCAATTTGTGTAAATATTCTTTTTGATTGACCTCTAAAGTGCCATAATATTTTTCATTGATTTCTACATGCTTTTCGATAACATTATTAATATCGGTTACCATAACTTCAAATTTTGCTTTTGCTTCAATAACATTCTCTTTAACAGCAATAGTTATATTTTCATTAGTGGAATCAGTTTCAGGAGGGAAAATTATTCTTGTGTTCGTTAAATATCTGATCTGGAATCCAAGTATAAAATCATAAATTAACTCATTTTACCCTTATAGTAAATTATTTTAACAACATACCTTTTTAACATTAACTCCATTTGTTTCAATTAAATATTTGTGAAACTTCGGATTTACTTTCAATTCAAACACATATTTATGAACTTCATCAACCATTGTCTGAATTTGTGTGATAACATTTTTAACATCATCTTCAGGTCCTTTGATAACTATAGTCTATGAATTAAATTTTAACTTTAAAATAACTGTTTACTATTTTTTTAATAGATTTTAGCATTTGGGAAATTTTCTCGAAAATTTACTTTATGTATTAGGGGAGGGGAAGCAATTTCTTTTCTTGAAACAATCGTCCCCTGTTCAAAGAGAGAAACTGCCAGAGGCCAGGTTCGAATCGATGTCTGAGCGTATATTACGCATATAATAACATATACAATTGGTTAAATTGTCATTTTAATTTATAAGTTTAATAAATAAGTATTTTCATACATTATCTCTTTTAACAGTTGGTAAATTCAATGTCACATTACCACTACAATCTTCTTTTATAGATTGAATGAATTTATTCCCAAGATTTACAATAACATTTCTAACTTTAACATTTCCCAGCACCATTTCCTTTGTTATTATGTCTCCCTAAAAATACATGATTGATAAATTAATAATAAAACTGAAAAATAAATAATCTTTATAAATAACCATCTATTTTATTTTGTACTTTAGTCATATCATAAGCGATTAAAACTTTTCTTTTATTTCCCATGATTTTAATAACATCACTATTGTCTCCTTCACGTGGAAAAAAAATTCTCGTATCAGTCTCTTCTTTAATCTAGAATATTAAACTATATAAATAACAATACTTTTAAATGTCGAATCACAAAAGTTAATAAATAATAATTACCTTTTTAATAAATAATACTCTCTTTCCAGCACTAAGTTTAATACTTCGGCCAATTGAACTAATGATTTAAATGCTTTATTTACATCATCGTTCAAACTTCGTATTTTAATTAAATTATTTCTAGCCGCGACTAAAATATCAAACCAAATATTATTTATTAACGGACAAAACACAAAAAAACAAACATATTAATACAATTAATACTATTAATTACCTGGACTGGGGAATATAATTTGAACATTAAAAATTTTATTTTAATAGTAAAGTTCTCGAACTTTTTCACCCTTAACTCCAATTATCGCTCTACGGTGACGTTGATTAATTGTTATTTCTTTTTTAATTTTATTTTTCAGCTTAAATTTTTGAGCATATAAATGCATATATCGATTGTTTCTAGATTAAGTATCATATATTTTATAAATTTTATGTATAATATTAAATATTGTGCATATTATTGTAAATTATCATTACCGTTAATTATGCCATTTTCAATCTACAAAAACTAACTGTCGGATTGTCAAAGGTTTGAAAATATCAGCAAAATTGTTGTTTTACAGTGTAATCCTGATATTTAAAGTGTGCTTAACCTAATTTAACATTAATAGATCGAAAACTAATTTTTTTTTTT